TGATGACGATTCTTCAACCCTAAGCAAAAATCATCTGTGTTATGATGAGTACAGTGGTCAGGAGGTATTTGTCGTTGGGTATACTGTGCTGTAAGCTGTCAATGGCTCCTCTAGAATCTGTATGACCACATGTACTTCTCTGCATCAGCTAGAGCTCCCATGATCACAACTGTCTCTGCTTGAAGTGAAGAGGCGTTATCTGTCATCTTCATGGAATTTGTGGCATCAGAGAAAAGCCAATGTCTGCAGTGTGAATTATGGGATCCACTGATCCATCCTAGAAGGCGGTTCTACTTCCCAGAGGCTGCAATAACCCTTTGCACTTTTGCCTTTAGGCCAGGTATGGAATATTAGCTCTTTCTCCTTGGCAAACTCATGATTGAGAACCTGATCAAGTTTAATGACCTTTGTCCACATGGGAGCACTCAAAATTATCCTGACAACTTGATTTTGGATTGTCTTCAGTTTTTCTCTTACTTTTTGGCTTCGTAGCAATGAGGGTAACAGGAGCATAGTGTACAAGCATTTAATACTTTGTGTCTTGTTCATATACATCTTAGTGTCATTACTTTCATGACAGACAGTCTTGCCTTTGTTCGGACTAGTAGGTACTGCACCCCAACGTATTTGAAATCTTTGACCCATTTAATGTCCATTCCCTGACATAAAGTTTTGTGATTTTTACACTGAGAGCCACGATCTTGGATTTTGCTGCAGAAATCTTTAGACCTGTCCTACAGTACTGGGCTTTTCTCAGGCAATTTTGGCCAGTGGAAATGACTATAAGAGATGGTCTTACACCCCTCTGGAAGATATATGTTGTGGATACAGGATATTAGACTGTTGAAAAGGACCGGACTAAGGATGCCCTGTGGTGTTCCATTTGAATACCCAACCCTGTGGTGTTCCATTGATTAGTGGCAATGCTGTGATAAGTGACCCTGGAATCTCACTTCGGCTGTTCTGTTCCTGAAATTGTCACCTATCCAGGGCAAGAGTCTGCCTATGATTCTCTTATGAATGGTTGCTAAATGGTTGTGCTAAAGAGCGTGGATATACTGTGTGATGTGCTCATGCCCCTTGTGAACCCGTGGGGCATTTGCTCTTTGAACTGATAGTTTATTAACACCCTGGCTGTGTGTGTCAGCCAGTTGTCTGCAAATAGCTCATTATCTTGAGGTATTTTATCTTTCGATGGCATGTGCTGAAATAGGTGACCTTGGAAACTGACTTTCGCTGTACGTCCCTGGCTTTCTTCCAACTCTAAGGTAGAGTGGAAGTTTGCTAGGACTTGTTGATGAGTTGCAGGAATGCAAACTCTCCTGCCTGCCATAGGTGGGAAATAATGGGATAGGAGATCCCATCAGAGTCGGTGCTGAGCCAGAACTGCTTTTATATATTCGTAGTCGCCCAGAGAGGAGAAGGCATTTGAGTTACCGTGCTCGGCTGTCTTGACTCTGATAAGAGCAAATCTGCCCGGTTGTATGTATTGATGGTTGTTCTCAATTAAGCTGGCAAGCTGCTTCTACATGTTCTTACAGAAAACTCCTATACCAACCTGTCTGCCTCTGATTAAAGGTCGTGATGTGTGCATCTTGGGGCTGACTGGCTGGTAGCTCCCCTAACTTGACTCCATAGCTCTGTAAGTGTGGTATGCTGGCTAAATCCAGCCACTTTTCCTGATTGATTCTGCCGGCAGTTTCTATGGCATCCCTGACAGCATTCCTTAAGAGGGCTAGGTTGCTAGGGATTCCTTACTTTCAGAGGAGTTTTCTATACATGTTCACTCTGTGTCTGACCTTTATCTCGTTATAGTACCAGACTTCTTTGTGATTCCTGGACCATGTACCGAGTTTCAGGTTTACCTATTTGCCTTGTCTGTTTTCCATCTGAGATTTACTGTGGTCCTTGGGCTAGACCAGCATTCAAAAGGGTGATGATAGTGCCATAGTGATCATTTGTAACCTTTCGTCAACACACCACCTGATGCTCACCACTATTGTTGCAGCGGCGAAGGTAATGTCTAGCACCCCTCCCCTCACATGCTTTGGTTCTCGGTGAACATCTCAAGCATGTCGGCTATTTAAAGGCCTGCCACATTTGGTCTCCTCTCCTGTGGGGATCCAAGGTGGGTCTTTCCCCTCCAGGTTCGTCATCGATATGTTTATTCTGGGGAAGGAGGGGGTCTGAATTTTATTAGCCATGAGATTAGTGCATGTCCCCACCCACCATGGAAACCACAAGGGGATATTTTATAACAGCTACAGGGGTGGCGAGAAGGTATACACAGCCACTGATTTGGAATACAACTCACGGGACCTATGCAAGGCCAACTCAGTGACTGCTTGGCTCTCTCTGAGTCTAGCTGTAGGTGATCGAATGTATTTTACCTCCTCTTCGTGTCAGCCAAAAACTCCTGCAACGTCAGAGGGAAATTTAGCTACCTTCCCTGGGTCAAAGGGGGCTAACCGGGGGGCTAAGCTGGAGCTTTCTTGTGCAGCTAACACGAGCTCTTATCCTTAGAGTGAAAGGGGACCCTTAGACCAGAGTAACGAGCTCCCTTCCCAGTGTAATGGGACCTCTGGCCAAAGACCTGGACTCCCTGGTACCGCGGGTCAAAGCTGCCCTGTCCAGGATGATGGGCACTGTCACGGCAGTCTATCAAATCGGCAATGTAT